TGGACTCACTTTTGCTACTTTAAGAGGATCGGGGAAGAATCCGTTTTGTAAACAATGGTTGATATTCATTGTTAATTTGTGTAATATTAAATTTTTGATGCATTTTATGGTTTTGCAACTAATGCCGTCTAAGCCCGTGCTAGTGTTTGGATTAAGTTTATCTATAATTTTACCTACTTCCTCTTTCGTAGTTGGAGTTAGATAGAGCAGTTCGTACGTACTAGAATTTGCCGTTTGTGAGCTAGGCTGTGTAAGTGGTTTTTCCTTATGCATTTTAATTTTATTTGCTAAAATACAACCTATAGTAGCAAAGAAAGTATTGAAATAATTACATATTTCCTTAACATCTGTAATTGGACCCATTTGTGTATCTAGTTTTATAGGAGCAGAGCACGACTTTGTTTTGTTACCAGCTAAGTTACCGATCAACTTCACATCTTTAAAGGTTTTCTTTCACAGTTTTTGAAGGCTTTGTAATAGTAGTTATTTTTAGTACTCTGAATTTGCTCAGACACGGTATTTCGTAGGGCAATAAAGTCTTTTCTTATTGATTCGTCGTTGGGATTTTTTTTTGTAAGTGGACCACAGTTGATTTCTTTTGGTTATCATTTTAATTATGTCTTTATTAATCCAGTCTGATTTAAATGCATTTTGGATTTTGAATTTCGGTATTCTATGTTTATTTACTGCTTCTTTTAAAATATGTTCTAGGCTATCGTAGTCATTATCGGATATATTCATTATTGTGCTTTCTACTTTAGAGTATATAGTTGTGTAATCTAAGGTATGATACTTTACTCTCTTTTTCGTTTTCGGTTTATAATCGCCAATTTCTAAATATATTTGCTTGTGGTCTGTCATTGGCGATTCTACTATAGTCATATGGAATTTATGATTTTTCAAATTGGATGAGACATGGTCAAGAATTGATTTTTTTTGTCGGTGTATCACGGGTACTAAATTTTGCATCAATTTTGTTTAGGATTGTGTGCCCATTTTCTAGCAGTATATTTGTATAGTTATTAATTGATTGGTTAGGATTGAGCAGATCGTAATTAAAATCGCCAAAGACTAAAGCTCTTTGCCTCCTTATCAGCTGCTGTGAGTATTCCTCCAAAAACCCATTGTTTTTTTATTTTGGAGTTTTATATATAGCTCCAATGTCCAACGAGTATTTATCTAAATGAACCCATAGGTAGTGATTATCCTCTTTACAAAAATCTTCTATGTAATTGTGTTTTAAACAGTCGTGGACAAATATGGATACTCCACCTCCTCTGGCATTTTCTCTTATGTTATAATAATGGGTGTAGTTTGGTAATTTTAAACTTTTGGCTTCAGATTCTGACTTGATCCAGGTTTCTGATAGTATAATTACATGCACAAGACTGTTTATGTTATATTGTATAATGCAGTTTAATTCATCGAGTTTTCCTGGCTTCACTATACTTCGTGCATTAGCGTAGAGAAATTTTAAGGATTTAGTGTTTTTTATTAAGTTAGTGTATGAATCAGTTTCTTCATGAGTAGTGTTTGGCGATGTGTCGTCTGTATTTTGCATTGTTAGTTTTTTGGCTGGATTTTGGTTATTTTAGGTGTACCTTTGACATATTTTATAGTAAGGTTTTTTTCACCTCCATCTAGTCGCCGTCTCAGTTCGTCTCTCAAATTACTTCGATACTTTTGTTGATATGGTGTCTCATCAGAGTTGATTTTAATACTGTCTGATTTTATGTTGGACCTTTTGCGTAGAATTGATTTTGCTACTTCGGATGTCGAGAATATAACCTTTATAGGTCTGGATTTATCAGGATTATATTTACCTAAGCGGATAGTTTTCGTCGGTTCTATGCAATCTGGAACAGCCATTTTTATTATTTTCTTTACTTCTTCGCTGTCGTGGATGTTTCTCTCTTCAGAGTTTGAGGATCGTATCTCTTTTATCCATCGTATGATAACGTTTTTCTCCCTCTGAGATCGTTCGTAGGTCTCCGATACTAAATCTTCATAGCTAAACGAAGGCGCAGGTATCGCAGCAGTCGAGCCAGATTTTAGTGATGCTATTTCATTTCGATAGTCTCCACTTTTTTCTGAATGTTAGCTCTAAAACCTGAGATGCAAGCTAACTCCGATTTTATTTTGACCTGTTCTGGGGATAAAAGATCAGTTGTTATCTTGATCAAGCTAATCTCTTCCTTTATTACTGAGACATCTTGAGCAATTCTGTGAAGATTTTCAGTTTGGGTTTTAGCCATATCCTGTATAAGCGACTCCATTTTAGCTTGAAATTTATCAAATTGTACACTAAAGTCATCATGCGGCTGTTTTCTTTTGGCCCGAAGAGTTATCTGGTTGGTGTTATCAGACAGGGTAATCTTTCAGACAGACAGCAAATCTGGTTGTGAACCACTAGTCTTTTCAAGCTTATTAACACTACTTGTGGTTGCTATCGAATCTCTATTGCCTTCATTATACATGTTAGGCGACTGCGGTGGCGATCGAACGACACTCGTCGTGTGTTATTGTTTATAAAAAATATATATGTATTTACTTGATATCTCGCTCGCGCAGAACCACGATGAATGCGAGCTGGATATTAGTAGCCCTTCTCTTTTCCTCGAGGAGAGGAGTTGCAGTTGACGCTCGCCGCTCACTCAAGTATGTTAACATATATCAATAACGACCTAGGTTGCGTAAATAAGTTAATACTAAATAAGAAAAAAAAATTTAGAAACAGTACCTGATTCAATTAATTTAACTTTACTGTACACATAAAATAAAGCTCAAAAACTAAAAAGTTTCAAACGCGCTAACATTAGTCAATAATTAATTGCAATATTATACGTAACATTACGGCTCCGAAGCTCTTTGGAAGTAGCCACGCGATATACGAAACGGCGAACTTGGCCCAGTGAACGCAAACCGGTCGGGTTGTTCAACGAGGTAACGCGATGCATTTGCAACACGATGACGATGGCACGGTAATAAATGCAAGTAAACTGTTTTCTGGCACTGCACGGTAATTCTGACGGCCCCGTAGCACATTAGTCGTAGCTCGTGCAGGGCCTCGGGTTTGAGTCGAAATGGAACAAGTGGTTTTTATGATGTACCAATAATTTTTCCGGGTCTGCATATTGGTCCTTGTCTGCCTCATCCGTGATAGGGTTTATGATACGTAGAATAAAATAATTTTCAAGAAAAAACATAAGTTAGTACAATATAAATGTATAGAGAACATTAGCCTATGTTCAAAACTAAACTAATTGAAGCCGGCAAATCACAAGTTACTTATTTGCACTAAAATTAGGCATAATAGATAAAAAGTTTTCTATCGTTAAGGGGTACTTATGGCTTGAAGCAATACTACACAGTTAATCCACATCCTCTAAGTGCATCGCTGTACAAGACCTTTTTATGAATTTGTCAGCATGTTTTGTAAGAGTTCTTCAGAAGAGATTCACAAGGCTGAACGGGCGGGTTGGTTACTCAACCGGCAGTCAGCGCCTTCTCTGATACTTGTGGTTGATTTTGATTACGGTCATAATTAATAATTTCGGCCCTATTAGATTATGTCTTATGAAATAAATATGACACCATAATAACACATACACAAAACAATACATCTTGTTGATGATGAGAGCGAAATTAAAAATAAGGCTGGGGTTTTTATTTACCTTATTTTATGTCCTGAAGCCTTTTTTTTTTTCATTATAAACTCATAAATGTTATTAACAAGGTAATTTTTGAGTGATTGATACACTATAGCAATTTTTAAGCTAATAAAAAAAATTTCACTTAGCAAGGGTCGAATTTCACAGTTTAAAATTAAAAACTCACAACTATAATGAACATTTTTGATATTAAATTATATAATATACATTTCGGCTTTATTTAATTTCCAGTCGCCTATCCCATATAATCGAATTTAACCTACTATGCTCTGTGCAAAGATCATAAAAAAGATCCAATAAGATGTTTTATTGCACAATAGCCACATCTATTAGAAAGTTTTGATATTTTATAAAAATTGATTTTTGTTATAATTTACGGATTTAAGGTTTTGCTTGTTTTTGCTGTATAAATCCTACAGCGTTGGAATAAAATTCGTATACACACCAAACATAATTGCTTCACTTCATTGCAAGATCATAATATTACTGCTCAGATGTTTTTATTGTTTTGCCTCTGCAAAGACTTACGCGATATGTAGCAGAATGAACCAAATGACAAGTTGATAGTAAAGGTGCCCAGGTACAAACACTGCCTCTTTTTATTTTTAGTTTAAACTTCCGCAAAAGGAGCTTACAGTATCATAAAATACCGTATTGGTATGGGGTTAATTATTTGTGGAATCTCAAGCCAACGGCATTTTCTAGACATCTTCTCTATATTATTCTATCTATATTATTGTTTTAATTTCAAATTCTAAAATAGAACCACAGGGAATTTAAAACATGTCGAAATTAAACGTGTTAAGAGCTACAAATATTAGCTTTTTATCGGTAGTAATCGCATAAATATAAGATATCATTGTATTGTCTCATACAATTTCAAATCATCTTACATAAGTATACACCTTAACCTCACCGACACGTTCGTAATAGCGTCGAAGTAAAGAAATGAAACTGCAATATTAATTGGGGTCAAGGAATTGGTTGTAAAATTTTCAACTCGACTTAAATTGTGCAGTAATATGTCAATTCTAATTTAAAACACAAAAGTGAACGTTGATTCCAAAATAAATTAATTTTTTATAATTTAACTTAAGTAACGAATATATAAAAATAGGAGACGCTTACAAATCAGAATTTAAAGGAATATTCCTATTATCATAAGTTAATACCTAATTCATTATTTTTTAATTATCATTTTTAAAAATTTTTACCTCACCAACAGGACTAAAATAGGAGACGCTTACAAATCAGAATTTAAAAGAATATTCCTATTGTCATAAATTAATAATTCATTATTTTGTAAATATCATTTTGAAAAATTCTTACCTCACCAACAGGACTATCGAGGCTGCTAGAATCGACCGATGGTGCCTCCCGGTGATAGGGTAACTTAAAACAATAAATTAAATTATAAATGAAAATGCATCAGCCACTTTGTTTTACTAATGAGATATTTAACGTTATGATATAAAAAAAATATTTATTTAACCATAGAGATCATAATTTATATAATATAATGCGAGCTTAGATTACGATTACGTTCTTAGTTTTTAACAATTTTCATCTGGACTGACAGATAATATTAAACAATAGCAAAACAGGATTCAAAACAGGGTCACAGGCGTATAAGTCTACGTCTATTAAGGGGAAATATAATCTAATTGAAATATAAATGGCTTAGCAAGATCCTTCGTTATGCCGAAAATATTGCAGCTTTAATTTTGAAATAAATATACGGTAAAGTTGAGGATTAATGTTAAGGATTATGTTAGACGAAAACACGATTTCGTAAAATTTTCTCGATAGAAAAAAAATCCAAATTTACCTCCAAAATAAACAATAAACCGCTGTTATTCATAAAATACTTTAAATAAGATCATGAAACTTTGCATACTAACTGAACTAACTATAAAGCAGTGCTTATGTTATTTACTTTTTTCAAAATACCATTATTTTCACTGTAAAATGAGATTACCTAAACTATCGGCGTCTTGAAGCTTGATTCCTGTCGCCCCGTTAGTTTCGCTTAGGCTTTTGAAGGGAGAAGTTGCGTCGCTTACGATCAGAATACACATTACGCAGCAGGACGACGTAAAATTAAGAGGGGAAATAACCGTAATAAAAATAAGAAACGGACTGGCTTGGCGTTAAGAAACAGGCATAAATATGATAAACCTAATGAAATAAGTGTCTAACGACCTTTCTACTTACAGTATTAGTGATTACAAACATGTCGGTACATAGCATACGACGCGCGGGCAAGTGGGGACGAAATTAGAATTTGAGCTGACTTACTCTATCCCCTTAAATGCCTATAATCAACTCATTATCATTTAAGTCATATGAGTGGATCATAGATGGACATTTAAGTTATATGAAATCATTTTAAAATCGTTTTCCTGATACCATTAATGTCAAACGTTTCACGTTAAAAGATGATACGAAAATTTTGACAATGAATTAATCGTTTTTTTTTTAGTTCGAGAAATCAATGAAACAAGTACTGTAAGTATTGAAAAATAACAAAAGTTGATTGGGTTCGTCTTCCTGCGCAGAGAATTATAACGATCTCTAATTAAGTTTAAAACTTGGTGTTTAGGAGAAATTAGTTCGCAATGTTCGTATACATAACAAACAGATAACTTACAATTTCTAATCTTGAAGTTCCAGAGGCAGGTGCCACTCGACTCAACCAGGTGTCAGCACTCGCAGTCGCAGCCTGTTGATGAAGGCAGTGCATAAATAAATTAATTCCAATTTAAAGTTAAAATGGAGTAAATATTTAAGATACATGGTATCTTGTAAGTACTATATGAAAACTCAATTAACCCGCGACAACTCGCGCTATGAGCATTTTGCTCACGGTAAATTTAAAAATGGCGCCATTCTGTCAAAAACCTAGCTGACAGTATCTTGCGCCGTGTAGCAGAATTTTATTCCCTCTCCGTCCCGCAACATACGTTGGCCTTGGGTTAACGTGCTCCAGTCAGTCATAGAGGAAGGTTTGTTCGAATCACCTCCAACGCGTAGGGTTTCGCTCTTCGCGCGAGTATCGATGTAAGTATTGTTTTTGTGAGTAAGTTTTTTTTCAAATGTTTAATATTTTTATATTCTACGTTTTGTCATTTTTTTTAAATTAACAGTGATGGTTTGTGTATAAACTATAATTTAAAATAATAATATTAGATCTATGTTATATTTTAGATTGATAAAGGTGAGCAACAAATTGTGGCGTGGCTGATGGAAGAAGGTACGGAGGCAATATAGGACCCAGATAGTAGGATTGACAAAGCAGAGAGTGACGGAGATAGTGATCACAGTGAACATTGCACCGACATGGAAAAGTCATCATGCGAAGATGAAGGTGAGAATTATTCAAGTCAATCCGAGCACGGTCTATATTACTTAGGCAAGGATAAAATTACCAAGTGGAATTATCGTCCATAACGTACCAATAAAACCAGTAGCCAAAGGCGCTAAACATATTATTGAATGTTTTCTCCTTTTTTGTAAGTGAGGACATGCTTACTAAAATTGTTTTTTACACAAATAATTACATTAAAAAAATCATGGACCGTTATGCAAGAGACAGAGATTGTAAAGAGACGGATATCATAGAGATAAAAGCATTTATTGGGCTCTTGTACATGGCTGGTATAAAGAAAATGAATCACCTAAATTTAAAAGAAATGTGGGAGACAGATGGCACCGCTCCTGATATATATCGAGCTGTTATGAATCGCAACCGATTTATGTTTTTGATGAAATGCATTTGATTTGATGATGTACAGACTCGTCAGGAGAGATCTGAGTGTGACAATATTGCACCAATTCGTGAAATATTTGATTTATTTGTCGAAAAGTGTCGGGCTAACTATCAGGTTGGAGAAAATGTAACCATAGATGAAATGTTAGAATCGTTCCGGGATCGTTGCAAATTCCGAATGTATATTGCTAACAAACCAGCCAAATATGGCATAAAAGTGTATGCACTGTGTGATGCGCATTCATATTATACGAGTAATTTAGGGATTTATCCAGGGAAACAACCAAATGGTCCGTACAAATATGATAATTCCCCATCTGCTGTTGTTACTCGTTTATCAAAAGATATTCTAAATTCTGGAAGAAATATTACAGCAGATAATTACTTTACATCTATTCCATTGGCCGACGAATTGCTGACTAAACGTACTACGTTGGTTGGCACTATACGCAAAAATAAAATAGACGTGTGGCACTCGGGGACTGCCGCGGTAAAGCTATTGCATAGCATTTTGTATCAACTTATGCAATTATAATTATTTATTTATTTTATTTATGCAGTATTTCTTTTTCTTTGATATTAATTCAAGTTACTTAGGTTAATCCAATCAAATTCAACCAGATTTAACCGAACCCGCGTTATAACGAACTCACTATTTGTGAAAAATACTGTATCACCGGACCGCGTCGCAAAAAACTCAGGTTCGCGCAGTACATACGTCAGGGCGGCCGTACGGCAATTATATTAACAAGACGCGCAACTACTCAGTTCCACGCTCCACGGCAAGATTTGTCACTTATTATTTATTGTCCAATTAATTGTCTTTAAGTTCAAATGGCACGCTCTATTAACATAAGTCTAAGACAAAACAAGGAGACTTTCAATATATGAACAACTATATTTTTCTAACTGTTGTTTTAAACTGTTATAATATATTATAACAGTTTTAAATATTACATTGTACACGCGGTTAGTTCAGTTCAGTCGTCGGCTGTGTTCGCGTTTTGTTTAACGAAAAATAAACAAAAACAACAATAGCTTTTTCACGTAATATGGGGACCTGCTATCAAAACATGTATATAATTTAACAGATAACAGTGTCATTGTCATCTCAGCTAGACAGCTAACTGAACACTAAACTGATATATTATATATTACAACAGCCAAATTAAATAACAGGCACAACAGGCAACTAATGGAGGAAATAATATATTTTTGTTTACCGTTATAATTTAGTGTTAGTAAAATAAGCTCTTATTAAGTTAGCTTAGAGTTTAAATTAGTGTAAGCTATACGTAATCCTTGTGGCATAATGAATGTAGGTAGTATTTTATTGACTCCCATTGTCTCGGCCGACCCGACGGTTGGACCGTAAACGTAAATAGATGACGCTTTCTAACGATAATGAATATAATATTATAACAGTCAATGGTTCATTATTCTAATGTGTTGTAAGATTAAAAATATATAATGAAATATATTATCTGTTGTATGTTATAACGCCCAACTTTAGGGGTGACCGACCGCGCGCACAAATGCAGCTGGCCTCCCCCTCCCGCACCTCACTAATCTTCGCTTCACACCGCTTGAGATAAGACGATCTACTATCAGGCGCTAACAAACCCCCATCCCGGACATAAGGACCTATGTCCGCGAGTAAATTGGCAATTAGAAGACGCTTTGTATTGTTGGTTTTTTACAAAAACGATCAACTGGGCAAATGATATCTGGCCCTTTGCTTTGTGAAAAAGCATTACAGTTAAATAAAAAATTAGGTGACGGCGGCTCGTTTGTCGCAAGTAACGGATGGTTATATAGATTTATATCTCTTCATGGAATTAAATCAATGTTTATTAAAAAATAATAATTTCTTAATAAACATTGATTTTCGTTGAAATGGTTGTTTTTAATAAACACATAACATTGTGTATGTACATATGTACTACAAATGCACAAAACCCGCTTTTCTTCATACATTCGATCATCCGGATTTTCGATTATCCGAATCCCTAATGGCAACAATTAGTCCGGTTAATCGAGTATATATATATATATATATATATATATATATATATATATTGAGAATCTAAATTGAGAATTTAAACTATACGCGTGTGTGTGTTTGTGTGTATATAAAGAGGACTACTTTTAATATCGCTCATTTTAATATCAAAAATTTAGGTTATCTTTATAGCAGTATTATATTTTCAATTCAAAATTAGTACTGCATTTGTGATAACAATAAAATGTAGGTATGTATATAGAGTACTCACTCATTTTCTTTCACTATTTTTTCGTGACTTTTTTCATTAATAATAAATGCACTTTGTTCATTCATATTCAAAATTTCAAAACACTTTATACACAAACACCGTGTCGAAGACTGAGGAAAAGAAACGACGTTAGACCATCGTTAGACAATGCACGGCCTTCAAGCCACACCTCCGTGCCCGTCGGAGAGCGTGAGGTTTTTTTCGTTACGAAATTTCTGGATTTTCCCGCACTCAAGGCCCGCGATAGAAGCTATGCAATAGCTTAAAAGGGAAATTCCACCTATGTTTTTGAATACTAAAATAAGACCAAAGCCCAGTAGTATTTTTGGTTTTCATACGGGCAAGGTTCTGGTATCGTATATACCAAACAAAAAGAATAAAAAAAAATGTTCTTATGATTCATAATGACGATCGAATCGATCCTGAAACTGGAGATGACGCAAAACCTGAAATAATTACATTTTACAATAAAACCAAAGGAGGGGTAGATGTTGTCGATAGATTGCAAGAAGAATATTCTGTAGCTCGAGTTGCCTGTAGATGGCCACTGAGAATTTTTTACCATTTTGAATATAGCAGGTATCAATAGTCAAATTATTTATCACGGAAATTGCGATAATTTGATCACAAGGAGGGAATATTTGAAAAAGCTGTCTCTCACACTAACCCAAGAACACATCAACCGAAGAAGCTCGTTGCAAAATATATCATATCCCCTTAAACAGATTATAACCCGATTTTCAAACAAAAGAAACGTTCCCGAAACTGAAACACCTCCTGGAATATGTGCGGTGTGCCCAAGGCGTAAAATACGCAAAACGAAAAAGGCTTGTGTTTACTGTAAAAAAAAATTATGTTCAGAACATGCAAAAATTTTGTGTGATATGTGTAAGTCTAGGTTATATGATGAGGATTAAGATATTATGTTTTGTTTTAAAAAATTTTAGGTTGAGTTTTTTTTTCAAACCTATATACCTACTACCTATATACCTAATGAGAAGACTGCCAAATGTAAGTTCCTAAATGTTAATGTCGTAAAAAAACGTAAATCATTATTTTTTCTTTCAATAAATAATTAATTAATAAAATCTAATTTGTATTATTATGTTCATAACAAAAAAACCACATACTATGTTTTAGGTATTTAAAAGACTGTTTGTTTAGCGTGAGCAAAATGCTGTATACGCGAGTGCTTGCGTAACATTTAAGGGCGCGAGTTCTGCCGGGTTAAGTCTTTTTGGTGCATCCTAAGCAATCCTCGAGTTTTACAAAAACAAATGGTTAATGTGATATCTCCACCATGGTGACCAATAATGTCTTAGGTTATGACAACAATAAGTTAAAAAAAAATTCTACAATTTTTTATAGATACATAGGCATATGTTTTCTTTGACAATCATTAATAATACAACAATGTAAGAGCAACACTACTACAATTATAAAAGAACTTTCGTGGTCACTTGGAGGGGAAGGTCAAATTGACCTCCAAAAAGCTTGGCGTGCTCAGCAGAGCGAAACAGTATTTCATGCCGACACATCGCTTGCAACTTTACAAAGTGCAAGTTCGGCCTTACTGTTCTCATCACTCGGCCGGGGCACCCCAGTGCCAGCTCCTTCCACGTGACCGCATCCAGCGCAGAGCGATTCTAATCGTCGACGACCGAGTTCTTTCTAACCGGCTCGATTCACTGGCGCTGTGTTTCGTAATTGCGTTGTTCCATCCCTTTTAGTTTTCTGTCGTATCTACCATGGGGACTGTTCTGAGGAATTATTCGGATTAGTTCCAGCCGCCAAATTTCACGAACGCACATTTTCTTCCTCGTACAACCTCTCTGTGGAATTGTTTACCAGCGGCGACTTTTCCGGACCGATATGACTTAGGGACCTTCAAAAAAAGAGTTTACTCCTTTCTAAAAGGCCTTCAACGCGCCTGCAATTACCCTGGTGTTGCGGTTGTTCATGGGGAGGCGGTAATCACTTACCATCAGGTGAGCCGCATGGTCATTTGACCCCTCTTCCATAAAAAAAGAATTTATTGAAAACTCGATCTAACTTTGAAAACAAAAAGGTTTTGAGATGGTACAAAATGCTGCAAAATGTGCAGATGCAAGTGCAAGCAATAAGTTGACAGTTTTAGCGCAACCTGGCAGCGCATAAATTACGAACAAACAAACATTAATTTTTATATATTTAAACCATGTAAATATTAATAACTTCGCCTAGGTGGAATTTATTAATGTGGCGTGGCGCGTGTAAATTAAAGATAATTAAAGACTACTTATTTTATAAATATTTCGATTTCTCTACAAAAATATCCGAGGCTTCCGGATAAAATGCAACAAAGATCACTCTAAGCATTCCTCTAACTGTTCGTGAAGTTTAATTACAATCGTTTCAACCGCTCCGAATATTAGCCCCGACAGAGAGAAATTTCAAAAATGGTTATTATTCATATCTTAATGGTATTCAAATAAGCCCCTCAGCTCAATAACAGAAACAGAAACTTTTTATTCAATATAGATTGTAAACAATACTTATTGAAAGTCACTTTTCTTAATTAACCACTGGTTCGCAAAAATACCTCTGTCCTGGGAAGAACCAGCAGGAAACCCAGCGGGATTTTTTTTAAATAATAGCTTACAATCATGTACATTACAATTAACAACACAAAACAAATTAGAAATAGCTTGGCAGCGGCCACCCCCCAGTAACTTCGATATTACAATTTTATTGAAATGTATAGGTAGGTTTGCCAGATCGGAAAACCAATATATCTAGACAAATTTTGAAAATGTTAGGAATTTGGAGTTGTTGTCGGGAGAAATAAATATTAAACATTAAAAAAAATTTAATTAACAAGCTACAAAAAGAACTTTATACATAAGTAATCTAAGTACACTTAATTTTAAGGTTGCCACATGTATTTGGCATTGCACTTTACTGAGTGCAATCCAATTTAACTTTTACTAGTATACAAAAAATATTTACTTCAAAAAAATATTTATTTCAAAGTTCAGTCTAATTACTAAATCAGCTTTGATTAAATAAAAGGCCATACGTTAACTTTCTGAGATGCTGTTTGTCTGGATATTTTGAGTTTTATCGGGAGTCTGGAGATCATTTAAAATGTGGTATAGATAATAATAAGACACAAAAAAAATTGTCTGAAAGAAAATCTGTTTTCTATATAATATAAACAATATCATTTCTTACACATAATATTAAAAAGTCGCGGTTTGGTAGATATCACAATAATAATTTTAATAAATAGTTGGGTAGTTCTGAACCACGCGCAATTTTAAAATTTGTCAATTATCCGCTTATTTTGGAATTAATCATTAATTTTGAGGACAATTACCTAATAAAGATTAGTAATAATAAATAACTCATTAACAAGTGTTTAAAAGTGATAAACCACACCTACGAAATAATTTGTATATCATTGATATATGTAGCAATTGTTATTTATAAATAATAATTTCAATTGGATTTGGAAATTTTGTTCTTCACATTTGCTGCTCTATGTATGTAATATACATATGAGATATTTAGAAAAATTAAAAAATATATACAAAAAAATGTTAAAAATTAAAATCACCGGAAAATTGCTGTAACTCATAGAAGATTTAATCTAATATGTTACAATATTTTTTATTACAAATTATTGAGACGATTGCGATTAGTAAGTATTAAATATTAAAAATATTCATCAAATCAAAAAGGGAATTATAGAAATTCTTAAATAAAGATAAATACAGGAAAAATTAAATAGTCACCTCTGTCAAAAGTATAAATTTCAGTAACTCGTAGCAAGCCACGGGAGACGCGTTAAATCATCGTCTGACTAACGTATTGCTTACGGTTCTTACGCAAAGCGCGGTAAGCGGCGGCAAGCGGCGGCTTTACATAACGCGACCCACTAGCACACTGACTCTGAGCTCTGAGCACACCGCGTTCGCAGTTCGCACTGTGCTGCCCACCTATTTTTTATCACATTCGCAATAACTCGTTAGCCGAATCTCACACATACGTTTTTAAATATACCAATTTTTAATCACAATAGCACTTTAATTTCATAACATTTTTAAAGTTTTTATAAAAAATAACTCATAGGTCATTGGACCTTAACATTAACATTTTATGTAATATTTGATATATTAAAAGAAACGATTATGAAGAAAACAACGACTTTTACGTGACCTCCGATATCAAGCTTTCACTATACACTTTTAACAAAATGTATATACACATGAAATGTAGTGGAACTACACTCCAGAGAAGACCAGTTAAATGGAAAAGTTATCCGTTATGTCAGTAGACATATAAAGTTTACCAATAGGTCAAATGAATGAATTTAGGGAAACGACCGAAATTTTAACTTAGTATGAATTCTGTGCAATTCACATCCATGTTTAATACCGAAATTTACGTCATATTACGTTGTGGGGATATCAATGTGCAAATGCGTCAAGCATATTATATACATAAGTTCTGATATTCAAGCAACATCACTACTAGCACTTGGATCAAACTTGGTGCCCTCAAAGTTTGAAGGAAATACAATACTGGTTCAGTGGTTATGGCCGCACATATAAAACATATATCAATCATATATATATAAGCTTTAACTAAAAATTCTCATCTTCATAGAATATTGTGATGTAACATTACATAGAATAGTAATACTCTATTAAATAGAATGAGTTCTAGTTCTAGCCTGGGATTGTGGTCGAGGCACTAATCATTTTTTATAAAATAAGGGTAACAAACAAGCACACAGTGAGAAAATATTGAGACAAAATTAAAAAAAAAATTTTTTTATAGGATAGGGTGACAAACGACCACACAGTTCACCTGATGGTAAGTGATTGCTGTGGCCCATAGACACCCACATGTAACTTCGATTAAGAATCAAAATGCAGATGCGTTGTCACCCATGAGGACTAAGATGGAATGCCTCATTTCCAGTAAAAACGGTCTCCAGTTCTCTACACTCACCATACATACTACTAATATAACTGCAGCATGGCTCTACCATATACAAATTTAATTATCTAAGTTATCAAAATTATAAAGTTAGCCAGATTTTAAAACTATTTGCAACACAATGTTATATCACATATATTTTTTAAGTTTTTTTATAGGAGAGGGGGCAAACAAATATACGGCTCACCTGACGGTAAATGATTACCGCCACCCATGAACAACTGCAACACCAGGGGATTGAAGATATCAAACCTTTACAAAATGTCAATGTAGATGATAGCTTGATTAACAAACGTTTGTGGTTTATAGATGCTATTTTACTTATACTTTTGTATTCAACTTGTAAATGATAAATAAATTATTATAAAAATTTGGCCATTCAGAAGATTAACTCGGACACAATTTTTTTTTTCAAATGGTAATTCATGCCTTATCGGCCTACAAATAAACTAAGTATAATTTTATTTATTCGTATAGTTATAGATATATGGATTTCCCCATACCACTTATACTTAATTTACGAAATAATGGGAAAACTGACTTTAAGAGATTTTTTGATAATTGTCTTACTATATCTATACTATATATCTTACTATACTTGTCTAAAGTGTATTATTTAGTATGAATGTAGCCATGTTTTATTTCAAATTTCAATTGGTTGCATGGAACTTAAGTTAGATTTTGAGTTTGGTTATGTATTATGTATTATACTATTCTATGTGTATAATAGTGCTCTGATGCAGGCCTAGTAACTTTTATGCAAAAACATGTAGTTTTCAAGAAATTATATACTTAAAACCACAGGAATTATAACAGAAATAGATTGGAGTCAGGTGTAGTGGCAAAAATGGTAACACAATTTTTTTATAACATTTTTTAGGTGACTATAATTAGGATGTTACAGAAATTGTGATATTACAATGGTAAAATTAAAAATTTTGTAAAGCCAACTTGAATATAAATAAAATGAGAACAACATCAATGTAGTTGAAGTCAATTAAACACATTATTAAGTGTATTTATTTGACTTCAACTATAACTCAAAAATATATACTCAAATTTATATGGGACCACATGTCAAGCACCATCTTGAAGTAATACACATTAAAAAAATATGTTAAAAAAAACTTTTTTTTTTCAAATTCTCTCTCCTTCAATATCTCACAAACAAATGAACCGATTTTTATTTTCCAAACGGCATTCGACGTCATTTTTTGGGGTTACAAGCTGATTAGTTTTTGAAATCGATTGGTAAAGCTGTTTAAAAGTTAATATAAAAAAAACTGAAGGTAACCGGACTAACTATGACATTGGGACGTCAAACATCTCAGTCCCCCGTGACCATGAGTGCTGTAAAGCACCCGAAACGTCAGGATAATAATAAAAATAAATTAAAGTAATTAAACGCGACAAAATCCGTAAATAATAGTTTTATTCAATGTGTAGTGTTCGCGTAAATTTAAGAAATCATTATGTTTAAAAGTTATTCCAAAAAAACAGTTTTGTCAAAATTTTAATTTTTGAGATTTTTCAAAATCTACTCATCCGAATCAGTTCATATTATCTAATCCACATTGAGGTCTTTAGAATGCCGCAAACACAATCTCAATCAATGAAAACGTTCCAAAGTTATGAAAGGTTTACATACTTACACACACATACATACATCCATCCTTACGGACATCTATGTGAAATTAGTCAGAATAGCTTCCTGGGATCTCGAAACGTCGAGATCTGATGAAAACTCGATTTTCGAAAATCGGGGTGAAACTCTTCTCTATTTTTGAAATATTTCAATTTTATTAGCAGGAACTTAAAAATATAGTCAAATTGGGAATCTCCTCCTTTTTTGAAGTCTGTTGTGGAAAGTCATTCCATTTTTCACTTGCAATTTTGGAGTATAAATGTTTTATGTAACTCTCATTATTTCCACTTACAATAATATCTATAACTAGGTAAAGTTTGTATAATAATTAAAATAACTTTGACTTTCATTGCTTTGCAATAAAAACATGAAAATGCATACAAAAATTATAAATTTCTGCAGTGGTGGAAGGTGAGTGCAATGGGATAGTTACCCTTCTCAATACTCTCCGTACTTCTCAGTACTCAATAATCTCCACCTCCTAGTGCAACAGGATATTAAATTATTATCCTTGAGTTTTCAATACCAAATTGTCTTATTTAAAGTGAGTCATGAATGTCTAAGTAAATGCTACAACGTTATAATTTTCAAGTACAGTATAAAGAGAATAAAATAGCAGGTATTTGCAAGTATGGATAAACACACATATATATATATATATATATATAATTTATATATATATATATATATATATAAATTATGTATCATGTTGTTTATCCTAAACTACTGAACTGATTTCATTGTAATTTTGCACATGTGCACAGTTTGTAAAAACCTAATAAGTGACCCTCAATGTATTTTATTATGAATTTAATGATTTTTCATATTACAGTGTCATCAGATAGGGCAGCACGTCTGTCTGGCCAGGTAGTATATATAATGTTATATATATATATATATATATCATGTCCTATATTATATAAGGCAAGTTACATAAAACTTAATTATGTAAGAAATTAAAGTTTTCATAATATGTAGTGAATTTTAATACTGGTCTGCTATAATTTTAGGTAATAATATAATCATATAACATGATACTTGTTTACCAGAAAGTACGATATATATTTCGATAAACTCTCAAACAAATAGATGACATAATCAGTACTTTTTTCAGTGAAAACATTTAAATTTAAAAGCGCCATTTTGCAAATTGCATCATCAGATCACAATTTTCATATATCTGTTATTATTGTGTTTACAGCCGCTTTAAAGTTTGTAAATAAAAACAAATATTGTGTTAACCAAAATCTAAAACTTGAATTGTGTGCGAAGGGGCTGCTTGGTGCTTGCTTCAAGTTTGCTACAAATTCTTATATAATTCCTTTTCTTACGTAATAACCGCGTGGTTAAGAATTATTATTATATAAATAGCTATCCCACTCTAAACCTTAATATTATAAACATTCACTTAGGTTACTTGAAATACCAAAAACTTTAAAATAAACATGAAAGTAGATTCGCGCCTACCGGCACGCAATCGCATACATATAAAAAAATAAGTTTAGTAAATATCATACCGGGGTTATTTCCGAAGGTGAAGGTGGACGGGAATGTCTGTCGGATCCTGACCACATGTTGTTTGTATTTATTTAAAACAAAAGGATATTTAAGTTAAGAAAAACACTGCAACGTAACAAAAACTCGGGAAAACAAATAAATGACACTACTACAAGTTACCTCGCAACACCCTCGACTCGACTAGAGTAGAGATAGAGTAGAGAGAAAAATTGAATTCTATTCCCTCAACAGCAAATAAAAATATGCTAAAAAGTACTCTGCGCTCTGTACAAGCGTTGCCAACACTGATTTGTCAAATTCCCCGAAAATCCAAGGTGAATTCCCAAATTTAAAGACAAAAATTAAAACAGATTCGCTACAAATTCATCTCAATTATTACTTATTTTAAGAAATGAAATAAGTTTAACAAATTTTATGAGATTTTTTGACTTACATGTTTTTTCTTTTTGCTGAAATTTTTTTCAGACTTTCCATATTTTGTAACAAGCATTTTATTCAATGGAGTGTCTTAAATTCTTCCCTTGTTGCCATTAAAAAGTAACACTGTCTACGTTTATGTAAATGGGGTACTCTGTTTTAAATTTAAAAAGTAAAGAAATTAAAAAGTATTAAATGAAACAAGAGTAGCCGAAATAG